GCTTTCACCTTACCCTCAAAGTGCAAGCACAGTGCACTCATAAAATATTTAAACAAGTTTATAACCACCCTGAAGTGAACAGACTTCCACCTAGGCCTCAGATCCTACGACACTTGTTTAAAAATTAAACATTGTAAAAGCATCTTTCCACAGAAAGGCCAGACTAAACACAAGTATAGTACAGCAGGCACACCAAACCCTGGACATGTAGAAAGGTTTCTTTAAGTTAACAATTTCCCACAAGGATTCACAAGGGACAGCCCATTGAATCACACATCATAGGTCCACCCGAGAAGCCTGTGCCCCCAGATATCAGAGGTGCAGCAAGGAGAGAGGGACCTATGGGGAGAAATGGCAGAGCACCCTATGAAGAATAAGGCTCTAGAGTCAACCTGGAAAGTTACACGACATGATGAGCAGACCCATTTCTTATTAAAAGAAAATTTGTAACTGTGGGGGTCAGGCACAGCCTGTCTAGGGCAGGAGGTGGGTTAACAGAGGAAAGAGAACATTTACTTAGTACACATACAGTTGGATACTACCTGCACTGTGTTCCAATAAAAATGTTCTTCTGGCCCTGGCCAGTTTGGCTCAGCAGTTAGAGCCTCTGCCTGCGGACAGAAGGGTTGAGGGTTCGATCCCCAGTCAAGGGCACATACCTGGGTTGCAGGTTTGATCCTCGGCCAGTTGGGGCACATGCTGGAGGCAACCAATGGATGTGTCTCTCACATCAATGTTTCTCTCTTTCTCCCTCTCTTCCAATCTATCTAAAAAGCAATGGGAAAATATCCTCGGATGAGGATTAACAAACAATGGAGGGGCTGCTCAGATCCCTGGAAGGGCTTTTTTAATTTAAACGTCAGAACCTAGGTCTGCAAATGCCTAGCCAGCACTGAGAACTGCGCACGTGCAGTATCCTGTAGCGGGAGATGCCTACCAAACCTGGGTTCAATGTGCGAAGACCAAGACCAGAAATGGAGGGCTCTCAGTCCGCGCCGGGAGCAGGCCCAGCTGGGGGCCTACGGCCGTCCACACCCGATGACTCTTTCAGGGCAGCTTTCAGAATGCGACAGGACCCCCAGAAACCTCAGGACAAAAGCCCTTTCCTGGAAACCACAGCCTAAGAAATACCTGAGATGGATCCGCCCAGGTTGGGAACACCGACCCTGTGGGGCAGGGCCCGACCCCAGGCTCGGAGGCGGTTTTCTGCAAGGCCAACTCTCTGCAGATTAGGGAACGCGCACACCCAGAGGTGGACCCAAGCGGTCCAACCGCGGGGCTAGGAGACCAGTTCCCACGGGGGAGTGGCGCGCGGCGGCACACGTGACCTGGACGGCCAATTGCAGCCCGCACCGGGGAAGGGGCGTGTCCATCAGAACAAAGGGCAGTGGGAAAGGAAGGACCGCAAGACTCCAGCTCAGAGGGGACCACTCCCCGTCAAAGGAAAAGGGGTGGCAGCGGGGCCCCGACAGCAGAGAAGGCCACAAATGGAAGGGTAAGGGGGGTAAGAGGGTAACTACCTGCCAAGGAAAAGGGGTGACAATGGGGTGGGAGACAATAGCAGGAGACCACCCAGAGGTGACAGGGAAGATGCCCATGGAGGGGAGTGTGTGACAGCAGAGGAGACTGCCTGCCTGCCAATGAAAGGGAGTGAAAGAAGGCGAAGGGGTCATTGGAGAAGGGGTGAAAGCAGGTGGGAAGGTAACTAACTTCCTGCCAAGGAAAATGGGTGACAGCAGGGGGTGCCCAGGGAGAGAGGGAGATGAGGCTCCCCAGAGGTGACAATGGGAGTAGAGGGTGACATCAAAGGAGACCACCCCTGGGAGGTAGGGTGATGGTGAGAGGGGGAGGGTGACTGCCCACCAAGGAAAAAAGGTGACAGTGGGGATGTGATGGCAAGGGAGGGGCCACTGGAGGAGGGTGATGGCAAGTGTGTCAACCCTCTTGCAGTCTGTCTTGGCTCAGCCCCATGGTGCCCCCAGCCAATGTCAAGAACAACATTCCATGCTTCTGTCACCTGACTGAAGGGTTGGCAGAAGGGTCTTTGTTCTTGGATACATATTCATGTTTTAAAATAACAGGTTGGTAGCACAAATGCTCAAAATAGAAATTTCAAGAACCAATGAACTAAAATAAAAAGAAGACCCTGTCCTTGCTGTGAAGGTAGTATCTATTTACAAATTCCATGGCAACCTTTTGTGAACCAGAATATGTAATTGAACAGAACAAATGCCAGGGCTTTCCATTTGTGGGTGACAGGAAAGTCCCTCTCCCAGGGAATGAGCAGTAATTACTAAGGAGAGATCCCCTGGGGAGACGACTGCTGTCAAACTCATCCTAAAGGGCTGAAGCAAGTCATCACATGTGCTTAATAGAAGTTACAAACAAAATCTTTTTTTTTTTTTTTTTGCAGTTACCATCAGATACAGCAAGAGGGAGAGAGGAAGAGACAGAGAGAAACATCGATGTGAGAGAGACACATCAAGTGGTCACCACCCATGGGCTGACACTGTAACTGCTGAGCCAAACCGGCCAGGGCACAAACAAAATCTTTAATAAGACACATGTGGCCCTGGCCAGTTTGGCTCAGTGGTAGAGCATTGCCCCATGGACCAAAGAGTCGTGGGTTCGATTCCGGTCAAGGGCACAGACCTTGGTTGCAGTTCGTCCCCAGCCCTGATCAGGATCGTGTTGGAGACAACTGGTGGATGTGTCTCTCTCATCTCTCTCTCTCTCTCTCTACACACACACACACACACACACACACACACACTCTATCTGAGGATAAATGGGAAAAAGTATACTCCAGTGAGGATTAAAAAAATAAATAAGACACGTGAACTTTCTTACTGTGCATAGATGTATACAGGATGCATCCAAAACAGAAAATGTCAAACAATCATCTTGATCTTACACATCCTGTTTCTCAATGATAACCTTCATGCCATTTAGACAACACTACTTTTTATTTTAATAATAATATTTAATATTTTAGGGAATGCACACACCCAGAGGTGGACCTCTGTTTATTATATTTTTATAATAAACAATTCAATATCACTTGACTACTATTTCAGCCCAGCTTAAAATGACCAGCTTCAAGAAGATGTTTACTGCAGCATCCTTCATCCCATAAGAATTGGACTCCAGCCCCACACCCAGCCATAGGGCTGAATCAACACCAGGACATTCAGACTCTGGGACCCAAGACAGCTGTTAAGACATGCTTTCTTTTCATACATTAAAAGCATCACCCATGAATAGTGCCACTTAATCCCCTGTACTGGACTTTGGGACAGGGTCAGACATCCCATACCAGGGTCAAACAGCAGGGGGACTCAGGACCCAAGATCCAAAGAGGTGACTAACATGACCAAGGGAAATGGGGGACCTGATACCAGGCCTTAGCTAGACAAAAACATCTCTCTTCTGAAGACCCATTTGCAGAAAATACGGCTCGAGAAACCTTTAAAAAAGGCACTTTTCAAACTTCACAGAAGTTTAACAATCTTAACCTCAGTGGAACTCGCTACATTATTTCAACAGGCTCCAAGCCTCCTTAACAGTAATACTATGTAACTAGCTGGTATTCAACTAAACACCTTTTAGTAAGTATATCAAGTTTATAAAATCACCATAATAAAAACTGACACCTTGGCCTAAGCATTTTGGAAAATGAAGGAAAACAGACTTACACCAGTCTCCATATGTGGTGGGGTGGAAACTGTCTTCAAAAGAGAGCATACCTGGAGAATCATCTCCCTTCAGAGGAACAGGGGATGGAGCCTGAAAACCTCCCTAAATCAGATCCCCTTCCAGACAGAAGCTGAACAAGCTTTTTTTTTTTTAGAGGGTCTAGGGCACAGTGATGCCACCTACCCCCAGGAGGAATGGACACCCCCCACCCCCATCAAACAGCCCACAGAAAAAAAGCAAAACCTCCCACTACCTACCAATCTCTATGAATGTACAAGCTGACTGTACTTTTCTGTTTTTCACTGTATATACAGGGTGGGGCAAAAGTAGGTTTACAGTTGTGAGTACACAAAATAACAGAATTTATTCTTGTATTATTTTTTATTTTTTTATCCTCACCAGAGGACACTTTTGCATTTATCCTCAGATAGAGCGGAAGGGAGAGAGGGAGGAAGAGAGAGAGAGAAACATCGATGTGAGAGAGACACATCAACTGGATGTGACCCACACAACCCCAACCGGGCCAGGGCCAAACTGCAACTGAGGTACGTGCCCTTAGCAGGAACTGAACTGGGTTTCTCTGATCCACGGGCTGATGCTCTAACCACTGAGCCAAACCGGCCAGGGCTATTCTTGTATTATTAATTACTATTTCCATATGAACAACTGTAAACCTACTTTTGCCCCACCCTATATTTCAAAATAAAGACATCTGTCCATAACGCCATTAGGAAACCGGGAAGAAAAAAAGTCAAAGCAAACAAAATCTTGATTTCCTAAACTTTAAAAGTGCTGCATAAATGACAGTCTGCAAATAAAGCTGTTTTGAAAAATTTTAAACATGTAGCCCCTTAGGTGTGGCTCAGTGGGTTGAGCATTGTTCCATGAACTGAGAGGTCCTGGTTCATTCCCAGTCAGGGCACATGCCCAGGTTTCTGGCTCAATCCCGGTAGGGGGCATGCAGGAGGCAGCGGATGAAGGTTTCTCTCTCCCTTCCTTTCTCTCTAAAAAGTCAATTTTAAAAATTAAACATGTAAACAGCAAAACAGGTAACATTCCAGATATATTTGCATAGTTTGAGTATGCGTTCTACCAAGCTCTCTAAAAACAATGGGCAACTACAGAAATGACCCTAAACCTTAAAGTGGTACAGGTATGTCAGGTGCTGAAAATAAACGGAGGCCCGCCCCACCCCACCCCAAAAGGCCAGTTCCGAGGGGCAGAGCAGCAAGAGCTGCCCCTAAAGACAGGCCCTTCCCGCCTCCCCAACACACACACACACACACACACACACACACACTCACTCGTCGCCGTCGGGGCACACGCCACTGGCCTCGTCGTACTTGGAGCAGTACACGTCCGGGCTGTAGTTGAAGGTGCCGTCTCGCCTGCGGAGCGGTCTGCGCCGACGCTGATTTAGGAAATGCCAATGGAAACAGGTAAATGGCCTGTGCTGGGTGCACTTGTGCTGCACAAACAGGGAGCACTGCTCTGTCCTAAACTCCTTTAGATACCTAAAAAGACAAACAGCGTTGCGGGTTGCTTCCGCCCTCACCGCCGCCAGCAAGCAGCGGGGAGACTCGTGGGTTGGGGTGGAGGTGTGGGGGAGGTTGGCCTGACCCCACCGGCCCAAGGAAACGTGACCCCCAAGCGCAACCCCCATTCCGAGTCCAGATGGCCCCACACAGCCGCCCTCCCCCTATCCTGAGCCCAGGCGCGTTTCCCGGATCTCAGGCGCGAATCCCCAGACCCCATGCACAGCTCCCCATTCCAATCACAGACGCGACCTGTCCCCCAAGACCAAGTGCCATCTCCGCCCCCAAGCGTAGCCCCCATCCCCGACCACAAGTGCGACCCTGTCCCCCAGGGCAGCCCCCCCCCCCCAATCCCAGACCCCAGGCGCGACTGCCACTCGGACTCCAGATGATCCCAGACGGCCGCCTCCCCTCTCTGAGCCCGGGAGCGTTTCCCAAACCTCAGGTGGTATCCTCCAGACCCCATGCATAATCCCCGATCCTGACCACAGACGCGACTTCCAACTTCAGGCGTGAAACCAAGACCCCAGGTGTGCCCAACCCCAAAGCCCAGGTGACATCTCCGACTCCAGGCGGAGGCAGCCGTAGTCCAGATGACCGTCCTCCCCGGGACCCAGGCGCATTATCCACGCCCCTCCCCGACCCCAGGCTCTATTCCCCGACCTCCAAAGCCAGGCGCGTGGACCACAGATCTCCGGGCGTTCCCCAGCTCCCAAGCCCCGGTGCACAGACCCTGGGCACAGACTCCCGACTTCAGACAGTGGCAGCCCGAGTCGGATGGTGGTCTACCCGCCCCGAGCCCAGGCGCCGCGCTGGCGGAGGCCGAGGATGGCGCGGGGGGCGGGGGACGGGGGCGGCACCGGGCCCCAGGCCGCACCCGGCGGTGGCACCCAGGCCCAGGGGCGCGGGGAAGCGAGCCAGGGACGCACAGGGCCGCCCCTACCCAGCTCCCGTCCCCGCCGCGGCGGTCGGGACACTGACCTGTAGTGGGTCGGCTTCTCCGTCTGCGGGGGGGGACCCGCTCAGCGCCGCCGCCGCCGCTTTCGAAACAGACGGCATTTTCAGTCAAAACAATGCAGCGCGCATGCGCCGCGCGGGCCCGCCCCCGCCCCTACAGATCTCCCCCCGCGCGGAGCCCACCTTCGCCCCCCGCCCGGCCGGCCACGCCCACCCGCTCCGCCCGGGCCACAGCCCCAGCTGGCGCCTCGCAAAGAGGAGCAGCTCCGCCAGCACCCGGCTGCCAGCTGACATCTCACAGCAACCTTCGTGGACCCCAGCCCCAGCCCCACTAGGGACACACCCCAGGCTCGTAGCCGCTGCCACTCCCGCATCCTAGTACATAGCGTTGCCCCCACCCCCGTGGGCGCCCGTCGTCCAGATGCACACCCACTCGCACTCTCGCAGCCCTCCTTCTGCCCACTGCTACCCGGAGCACTCCGCTCGCCCTGTGGGACCCCGAACTGGGCTCCAGGAGGAGATGGAGCCAACAGGTCCCCAATGTTTAGACAGCCTGCACAGGCTGCTCAGTCACATTTCACTCATTCACTGACTCTGACCACGTGCTGGGTGCTGAGGCTGAAAAGAATACGTCCAATTGCTTAGGGGTGAATGTGGGAAATGGGGAGACACAGGGCACACTGCTCGTGGGCACGCAGTTTCTTTTAGGGACTGCAAACATGTTCTAAAATTAGATTGTAGCGATGGGTGCCCCCTGTGAATATACTAAACATCTTTTCATTGTATATGTTAAGTGGGTGAATTGAGTACTATGTGAACTATACATCAATAAAGCTGATATTTAACGAAGAATCCAAGAGACTCGCCTTCACGAACAGGAAGGGAACTCAGGGAAGCAGGCAGCAGCTGCCCCAGCTCAGCTGGCCCTGGTGTAAGAACCAGGGTGTGCATTTCAGGACACAACTGAGGCCCAGAGTACATTATTCTATAAATATGTGGCATAAGAGACATATTTTCTAAATGTTCAACTTTGCTAGTAATAAAAAATGCAAATGAGAACAAGACAGAGGCATGGAGTGGGCAGACTTTTTGTTCTGAAGAGCGCAGCTGAGAGGGCAAACAGGTGCTGACCTTCACTGAAAATAATGTTCCATTTCTAGGAACTTTGACCCAAAAATGAATCTGATTCAGGCAAAGATTCATAGTCAAAAATAATTATCAGTCATTTACCAAAAACATGAGAGCACCTAACAGCCCAGTAATTGTGACATGTTTAAGTTCTGAGTGCTATGCCATGGTTTAACGACAATGCTACCTGAGCATTGTTACTGACATGAAAAATGCTCCTATTTAGGTGAAAAACAAAGCAAGATATAACAGTTCCATATATTTGTTCCCAAATATGTGAGTTATTTTTTGAACTACAAGCATTACAGTAAAATAAAAGCTATAATTTGCTGGTGGGGTAAATGATTATCTTCTTTTTTATGTTTCTTTTCCAAATGAAATACAAACATTACACTTAAACCTGAAAAATGGCAAAAAAAAAAAAAAAATCAACATATTTTCTAAGAAAATCAAGCAGGAGAATGAAGCAGAGGACAGGACTCATGAATTTGTTGGAGGAATGAACAGATCTTAAAGACCATCAGGAAGTAGGGAAATAAAAAGAAGTCAAGGATAATTTCGAGGTCCTTAGCTTGGAGGAATGCATAACAAACAGGTTTGGGAAGAGACGAATTCCATTTTAGACCTAAGGTATTTGAGAAACCTGTGAAGTTCAGCACAGAGAGCCACTTTGAGTTCAGGAAAGAAAGTTGGGGCTCAAGATTTTAAAATCTGGGGATCTTGCCCAGCTAGTGTGGCTCAGTGGTTGAGCATCAACCCAAGCACCAAGAAGTTGCTGGTTTGATTCCCGGTCAGGGCCCATACCCAGGTTGTAGACCTGATCCCCAGTGGGGGGTCATGCAGGAGGCGACCAAATGATGTCTCTATCTCTCTCCCTCTAAAATCAATAAGAAAAAAAAAATCAATAAAGAAAAAATATATATACATACATATATATATATATATATATTTTTTATCCTCACCCGAGGACATTTTTCCATTTTTTGTTCAGATAGAGTGGGAGGGAGAGAGAGAGAAGCATCGACATGAAAGGGACACATTGAATGGTTGCCACCTGCACGTCCCAACCAGGGCCAGGGACAAACTGCAACCGAGGCACATGCCTTAGCGGGAACCGAACCTAGGTCTCTCTGGACTGCAGACCGACGCTCAAACCGCTGAGCCAAACCGGCCAGGGCAAAAATACATATTTTTTAATGAATCTGGGGATCTTTGCTGTAGAGGTGGGAGTAAAGGTGCCTACTGTTCCTCCTTACCCATGAGGGATCTTCCTTGAAAAGATCAGAGAATTGTGCTAAGCTGTAAAGATCCAGTGACATTTTTCTTGCTTTTGAAGACCATTCTTAAAAGGCTGGGGTAGTACCTAGACATAGAAAATAACACCTCAGCCCTGGCCAGTTTGGCTCAGCGGTTAAAGCATTGGCCCTAGGACCCAAGGGTTGCAGTTTCCATCCCCAGGGTCATGCGAGAGGCAACCAATTGTGTGTCTCTCACATCAATGTTTCTCATTCTCTCTCTCCCTCCCTTCCTTCCACTCTACCTAAAAAAAAAAAATCAATGCAAAAATATCCTTGGGTGAGGATTAACAAAAATAAATAATAAAATAACACCTCATTGTAAACTTAGAAGTGTTTTACTTTTATAGGGGGGGCAGGGTGGGGAGGAGGAATGCACAGCACTACCAGAACCTTCCAAGACTGCTCAGCTGCTTGAAAGACATGAAACCATTTAACCTCCTCTTCCTTGAATTTTCTTTGAAATAATTTTCTCCTTTTTCGTATTTCTCATCTCATGAATCACTGCAACTCCTTTTGTTATAGCAGAACACTAGTCCTCTCCCTCTCAAATCCTTATTGGGTGCTTATCTGGGGAAGTGAATGTGCCAAGTAACCTAGGAAAAATAAAAGCTACAGTCCAGTTGGGGAAGTAAGACGAGCAAACTACAAACATTGTTAAGTAATAAAAGGGTTTCAGTAACAGTTCATCTATCCGCTCTGCTGCTGCCAGTCCTTTGCATAGTCCAGGTATGAGGAGGGCCTGCCCATACTTGACAGCGAGTCTTGTGTCCTCCTTTTGCTTATGACAAAACCCAGCAAAGCCCTCATTAATAGCTGCCCTGGAGGCACTCAGGATCTGTTGCATATGGTATGATGTGTTTTCTCTTCCTTCTGCCTATTAGTGTCTAACTTTTCCAGACCAATCACATTGCTCTTCTCATATGAGTTACTTTTTCTTTTATTGATTTTAGAAAGACAGGAAGGGAGAGGGGGAGAAAGAGGGAGAGAGAGAAACATTGACTTGTTCCACTTAACTTATGTATTCACTGATTGATTCTTATATGTGCCCTGACCCAGGATCAAACCTGCAACCTTGGTATATTGGGACAACGCTCTCACCAAACTGAACTACCTGGCTAGATTTGAGTAACTTTTTTTTACTTTATTGATTTTTAGAGAGAGAAAAAAGTAGAGGGAGAGAGAGAGAAACATCGATGATAAAGAACACTGATTGGCCACCTCCCACATGCCCTTAACTGGGGACTGGACCCACAACCTGGGCATGTGCCCTGACCGGGAATCGAACCAGCGACCTAGAGTAGAGGAACTTTTAATTAAAACAAAAATTCTTCCCATTAGTTCTGATATTTTTTACCTGCATGAGCTGGTGAGAATAAAGTAAGGGTTCAGACTGCTTAATGCCTGTTGCTTAACAAGAGATCACAACCACATCAGGCCAGAGGAACGACATCTTAGTTCTTTGTTCCCACTGGCACTGACAATGTAATTTGAGCTATGATTAGGTCAATCTTTCCAAACTTCGGACTCTCCATCTTTAAAAGAAATGCACATACTGCCCTGGTCAGTGTGGCTCAGTTGGTCTCATCCAGTGAAATGAAAAGTCGTGGGTTTGATTCCTGGTCAGGGTGTGTATAGAAGGTAACTGGTCGATGTTTCTCTCTCTCTCTCCCTTCCTCTCTCTAAAATCAATACACATATCCTCATGTGAGGATTAAAAAATAAAAATAAAACACATATTTGTATCAGTCCCATCTCCCTCACAAGCATAATTTACCAAGGTGTACCAGACACTTAGAAAACATCAGCAGCCCTGGCCGGTTTGGTTCAGCGGTTAGAGCGTCGGCCTGCGGTCCGGAGAGACCCGGGTTCGGTTTCCGCTAAGGGCACGTACCTTGGTTGCAGTTTGTCCCCAGCCCTGGTTGGGTCGTGTGGGTGGCAACCACTCGATGTGTCGCTTTCACGTCGATGTTTCTGTTTCTCTCTCTCTCTCTCTCTCTCTCTCTCCCTCTCCCTCTATCTGAACAAAATATCGAAAAATGTCCTCTGGTGAGGATTAAAAAAAAGAAAACATCAGCAAAGGCCTTGTGAGAAGCCAATATATTTCCATACAGCCAGTGTCATTAAATATCCTGGTGAGAGAAACCTCCAATTAACTTCAGCATCATACACATGCCAAGATAAAACCTTTCACTAGAAGCTTACATACATAAAATCTTCCTTTGATGCATCTTTTATTTCAGAATTAAGCAGGATTCTTAAGCAGTACTTGAAAAACAGATCCACAATATTGTCTGTGATTTGTCAAAAGAAAAATTCATCAGTTTTATTCTATTCAGAAAGTTGTTGCCTAGATAAAAATAAAAACTTGCGGAAAGCTGGCCCTGGCCAGCGTGGTTCAGTGGTTAGAGCATTGGGCTGAGAACTGAAGGATCCGGGGTTCAATTCCCAATCAAGGGTAAGTACCTGGGTTGCAGGTTCTTCCCCTGACTCCTTGTGTCCCTCAAGCCCTGTGTGCAGGAGGCAACCAATGGATGTGTCTTTCTCATACTGATGTTTCTCTCTCTGCCCACCCCCCTCTAAAAAGCAGTGGAAGAAATATCCTTGGGTGAGGATTAACAACAACAACAAGAAAAACTTGTGGAGAGCTGAGAAAGTTCCATTATTTCTGGTATCATTTGATAACGTATTCCACAATTTACATTCAGGTTTCTTTCCTCAGTTCCTATTCTGAGGGGGAAAAAAACAACAAAGGAACTGAAAAAGCACTAAGATGCTCCCTTTGTTTAATAAAATGCAAAAAAAGAAGGGGGCTGGCTTAATTCTACATTAGCAAATTAAAATTACCAATTTGTTAGTTTGAAAAACTAACAATTTATATGCACCTCAGTACATTATAAAATAAAAGCTTTACCTCTTCTGACAGTCTGTCTCACAAAGCAAATGATCTCCAAAATGGATTACAAGTGTCACCAGAATTGCTTTGGAAACTTATGTTGAACAAAATCACAAATCCCACAGCACACTCTGCAACCAAAACCTTTTCTATGGATCTAAAAAGTCTTTTAGACATATTCGTTTGGCATCAAAGTATCAGGCATCTGCTGACATTCTGCGCTCTCCTTCCCGCGGTTTGCGCGGCCAGGTGCGCTATCCAAATCCTTCAGGCTGGGGACGCACATAACCACGACAGAAGCTCAAACACGACGTCAAAGCCTACGGGCGGCTGCCTGGTCCCTCGCCGCCTGCCCCCACCGGTGCCTCTTTAAGTTCTTGCCCCGTGGGCAGCCGGAGTTTCAGGCTCCTCAGCACGATCGCTGGGCTCCGGCTCCTCTTCTTCCAATACCTGTCTCAACCAGTGGTCCGCGCTGGTCTCCTGCCTAAAGAAGCACCAAATGACCAGAACCATGAGGGACAGGCTTAAGGGCAGCACCCTCCACAAGGGCTGCTGCCGCTCTTTCCCCAGGGAATGCTCCACCGTCCAATGGGACGGGTTGGCTTTGCTGGAGGAAAACTGGATGGGACGGTTAGAGTCGTCCTCTTCCTCGCCCGCAGCCGCACGCTGGGCCTCAGCCCGGCCACCGGACGGCGAATGCAGGCTTCGGGAAGCCCAGCGCACGAGCCTCAGCGCCCGGACAGCCCTGGAAGAAAAAGAGCAGTGAGCGCGCCGCACGCTGCGCCCGCCCTCGGCCCCGCGAAGAGTGCGCGGAGCTCACCCAGCCGCCGGCGCACACAGGACACAACTCATCACGACCCCGGCTCCGCACTCGATTTTGCGGCGCGCAGCGCTCACGTCACGTCCGTCGCGCGAAACCGGAAAGCAAACGCTGTTCCAGGTCTCGGCTCACGACTACAGAACGTGGGACCGCTTGCGCAACGGAACTGATGCATAGTCTCTCGGCGACCTTTTCCGTCGCAGGTCGGGCCACGCCAAGCCGCGAGGGAATGCCGGGAAATGTAGTTCTCCGCGCGTCCGAAGAGGACCGAGCCTGCGGGTTCCGAATCTGCGGCGCCGGCATTGAGGCCAGCCAGCAGAGCCGGGTGTCGGCGGCTCCTCGGACGAGCTGGCGTCAGAGCGGGCTTCCCAGCTGGCCCGGACCCGCTCGAGATCGGCGCCCTGAGCCTGCAACCCTCGTGATGGCGCAATCTCTGGACGCCTCCACGCAGTCTTGGGACGCCCCAGTTTGCTCTCCTCGTGGGGCTTTAAGTCACGGAAGTCATCTTGTCCCCTCGACTAGTGTTCCCCATTAGGACTAAGTTGCGTGAGCACATAGCCTGCCCGCTGGTTCTCCCTGGCATGGAGCACCACTGCGCCCTGGGACTCGGCCCGGGCATCTGCATCCAAAGCTGCTCAAGTCCCCAGGGCTGGCCAAAGCGCCGGCCGCAAGGCCGTGATCCCTCATACTACGCAGCAGGGCACACCTAGAGCTCTCAGGGGAAGCCATCTTGCCCTTGGACACATCTCCCTCTCCTGCCCAGCGGAACCATGTGTGCACGGCCTAGCACTCATCCTCATTGTTGACTGAGGCAGCTTTGTGCTCCTATCCACACTCAGGAGTCAGGCAGGGAGGGTGTCCTGCGGGCCGTCCCGGGGCTTCCTGCTCTACCTGGTTCCCCAGTTGGCTTCATAGAAAAGCTACTGGAGCCTTCTGCCCTCAAGGCAAACTGGCCCTGGCTCCCCTGAGCCATTCTGTTTGAAGACCATATAGGGACATCCAGGCATCATCACAGACTCTGTGGGGATGTGTGTGGTGACAAAATCAGATCACGAGGCCACCTTGTAAACTGTAATGTACTACCTCCCTAGCTCAGCATCTTTGCCTCTGGAGTGCCCTTTGCCTGCACCTTCTTCCTGGCAAGAGAAGCACCAGACTCAAGACCAGTTTTTCACCCCCAGGGACTCTCCAGACATTAGAGTGGAGAGCTAGAGGTGTTGTGAACTCAGCAACATCTGGGAATACTCCCCACCTCAGGAAGCCCAGCTCCTGATGCTTGGCAGCAGTTCAGCTCCCAACCTAGGAGTTCAAAGTTGCTGTGTCAACAGGCACCTGTGTGCCCAGATCCTCCTCATTGGGCCCTGCCCCACCATTTCCACCCCAGAACTGCCCCCCCCCATTCCAAATTACTGCCAAACCAAGTTGCCCACAGGGAACCCCAGGAGCACCCACTGTGGGTGGGAGAAGGGAGCATGAATTGGAAGGATGGGCCAGAATCATTCTGGAGGCGGTGGAGATCAAAGAGCCCTAAGGTTAGATGTGGAGCTGTTGATTGGGCTGATGCAGCCACCTCGTTTGAATGCTTTAGGGCATAAGGGCACAAGCTGCTCTGGGACGCAGAGTAGGAGCAGAACTGGGGGCTTGGGCAGGGACTCCAGCTTCACCTGGGGAGGAGCCACTAAGTCTGTCTCAGTCTCAATGACTGCCTTGGATAGGTTACAGAAAGAGGACACCTTGCATGGGTGACAAACCCTCGAGCTTCTGTCCGCTTCATCAGCTGTAAAATGTCATGCCTCCTTAGCAGGCTGCTGCTAGGACTGCTTCTGTGCCTGGGATGCCCTTGGTGGTGTTATGATAACTGGAAGGCATGGAAATGTCTTCCTATCCCGAGGCAGTGGAGGGCACTCTTCCCGCCACTAGGTTCCTGGGGCACTCTGAGGCTGGCCTGGGAGGAACAGCATATAACCATAACAAAGAATAAGTAAACCCGTGTGACCAAATGACCTCTCCTCTGTCCCAACCTCCTGCTGCCACTTGGTCTCTGTTGTAGGTGAAGGCCTGATGCAAAGAACATAGATTGGTAGAGTCTGAAGAGGATGGCAGCCCCTGCCTCAAGTTGCCTAGTGCTCCCAGTGGGTCTCCTGTTGGACATAAAGTGTCAGAAGACGTCAGCATTGTACCAGGTCGCTCCATAACTGTGATGGCTCCAGATGAAATACAGCCCCTCTGTAATCACATCTGAACACAGACAAACATGGACACAACTCAAACCTCAGAAAGGACCAAACACACCTGTCCTGGCTAAGGGATGGCTGTCCTTTACCAGCCATATGGGAGTCTCGCCCTCCTTCTGATAAGATGTTGTACCTGCCCTGGCTGGTTTGGCTCAGCGGTTAGAGTGTCGGCCTGCGGTCCAGAGAGACCTGGGTTTGGTTTCCACTAAGGGCACGTACCTCCGTTGCAGTTTGTCCCCGGCCCTGGTTGGGTCAGGGCTGTGCGGGAGGCAGCCACTCGATATGTCCCTTTCATGTCGATGTTTCTCTCTCTCTCTCTTCCTTCCTGTCTCTCTCTCCCACTCTATCTGAACAAAAAATGGAAAAATGTCCTCAGGTGAGGATTAAAAAGAAAAATGCTGTACCGTGAGGGCAGGGGGTACAGGGGCTGGGTGGAGGGGGCAAAGGGGGGATGAGGACATCTGCAGTAGTGTCAAATATAAAAATAAAGTAAAAAAAAAAAAAAAAAATTCTGTTACCCTGACTGGTTTAGCTCAGCGGTTAAAGTGTTGGCCCGCAGACCAAAGAGTCATGGGTTCAATTCTGGCCAAGGGCACATACCTCAGTTGCGGTTCATCCCCAGCCCTGGTCAGGGTCATGCGGGAGGCAACCAGTCAATGTGTCTGGTTGATGCCCCCCCTTCTCCCTTCCTCCCACTCCATCTGAAGATAAATAGAAAAAATATCCTCAGGTGAGGATTAAAAAAGAAAGATGCTATTAGGCTTAAAGCTATCCCCCCAAATTCATATTCACCCAGAACCTTAGCACATGACCTTATTTGGAAATAGGGTCTTTGCAGATGTAATTTGTTAAAATGAGGTCACAGTGAATAGGGTGGGCCCTAAACCCAACGCCTGGTGTCCTTATAAGAAGAGGAGAAAAGACACAGAGGCACAGGGAGGCAGAGGCTGCAGTGCCGCGGCCGCAAGCCCAGGAATACCGAGGATTGCCAGCCCCACCAGGAGCTCAGAGAGAGACCTGAAAGAAACTTCCCTGGAGCCTTAGAGGGAGTGTGCCCCTGCCAACACCTTGGTTTGGGGTTTCTGGCTCCCAGAACTGTGAGAAAACAACTTTCTATTGTTTTAAATCACCCAGTTTGTGGACCTTTGTTAGGGCGGCCCCAGGAGACTGCGACAGGCATTCAATCACAGTCACCCTGCTTCCTGACAGTGTGCAACCCACAGCAAAGCCACTCACCCGTCACCAACCTGAACCCGCAGCCCTTTCTAACACCCTCCCACTGGGACACCCATGTCCTGTGCTGCACATCCTCCCGGCGGCAAGGAGCGCAGACCCACCTTGTTCAGCACAGGTGAGTTCCCGGCGGAGGGCAGTGACAGCCCCAACTACTACGATGTGCTTGACATAGCAGTGGAGCCCACGGTGGGCAAAGCCACAACCAGATACATCCGGGGGGCTCCTGTGTCTCTGGGGCCCTACCCTCCCTGATCCCAGCAAGCCCAGCCGAGCACTGGGTGACAGGTGCCTGGCACCGCCAGCACTGCCTGCTCTTGTTCACGGTCCCCTCCCCCTCCCAGGGACATAAACTAACACCTCAGCCTTCATTATCTCAAAGCACACAGAGAAACCCCACACGAGGCCTAATGTCCCACTAATGGGCAGGAAGGCTGCAGCCCTTGTGTGCCCAGTGCTGGGAATAATTCACTGTAGCGCCACTTGAGAGCTGACATATTGGAGCTATTGATTTTCCCTGGGAAGATCGATACAGGGTGCATGGGGACAGGCAGGTCCACCACCTTTGCAAGGGCAGAGCCTTTCTTCTGGGGACTGAGGCCTGACAACAGGTGGGGGCCGGTGGGGACAGGATGGGCACAGAGCTCCGAAAGGCCCAGTGCTACCCAAAATGGAGGCTGACTGGGAGCAGATCCTGGGACATATGCGTAGGCTCCAGGCCTGGTGGCCTGGGTGCCTGTCCCCCAGCCATACTCTGGGGGCCGAGGGGCAGCAGGGGGCTTGGAACAGCCATGCCCCTTGGCCTGGCTAGCCACCCAGCCTGGGATGGACATGTGTAGGAAACTGGGTCTGTCTGCCCATCCAGGGCCCCCTCAGAATGCTGTACCCCAACCCAGCCTGGACAATAACAAAGACCAGAGTTCAGCTCCCACCTGCCAGACTCCTGGGTCCGTCACGAACATGGCTCAGGAGCAAGGACGGGGAGAATTCATTAACAACCCACTGAAACCCCAGAGCTGCTGCTTAAATCATTCTCACCCCCACCCCCCACTCTTAAACCCTCAGGCTGCGCCTTGTTGGGCTCCATCACTGATTGCTGGGAATGCTACAGGAGCACCCCGGACCCGTCTCTGGTGTCTGGCCTCTTGTCCAGATGCCCGCCCCACATGCCTTGCCCGGTTCCTCTTCCCAAACACCTATGTGCGCTGGTTTGTCCCCCTCTCTAGAAGTCTCTGCCTTGGGCTGGGTTTCCTCCTTGGTCTCTGGTCAGGCAGAAGAAAGCACTGGGAACTGCCAGCAGAGAAGGCAAGGGTCTGGCTGTCTGCAGACAGTATTCCCATGGATGGCGTGAGTGGACATCTCCTCACTGGGCCACTTTGGGGACCCAAAGCCCCTACCATGGCCCCAGCTCCACTGACCAGGGCCTGAGGGGAGGCCAGGAAGGGCAAGGGGTCCTGGAGCTGGGGATGAAAACAAGGGCATGCAGGAAGGAGCAGGCCTGGGGGTGATAGCCATGGGCCCTCCCCTCATGAAGGCCCCGCCCTCAGATTTGGTTCCACTGACAGGGAGGAGCTGAGCATCTTG